GATAAGGGTCAGTGGTCCGCAGTGATGAAGGCTCACGCAATTACAGCACCACTTCAAATATCCCAAAATGCACACAGGAAACAAAACAGTGCAAAAAAAAAATAAAAAATGAGGACGATGTACTGCCATGTAAATGTAAGAACACAATTACATATTAAAATAAAAGTTAGTATTAATGCTGAATGTAATGAATGCATTTGTTCTGAATGTTAAGTTTTTGAAGACAGCTCATTTTCACAAGATGAATAGGCATGACAATAATGCCTATTCATTATAATGTACAGGAGAATCACCTCACATGTGGTGTCCGTGGATGGTTCTCTATTATCCATGGTATCGGTCACCCGTGGTTGGTCTTGGAACGTATCACTGTAGAGTTGTTAGATTGTCTGTACGGTTAATGTATATGTTATGAAGAGTGATCAGATGAATTGCAATTAATTGCAAAGTCCCTCTTTGCCATCAAAATTAACTTAATCCCAAAAAACCCATTTCCACTGCACTTCAGCCCTGCCACAAAAGGACCTGCTGACATCATTTCAGTGATTCTCTCGTTTGTCTATGAGGTAGGAGAGGAAAAAGAACCCTTGTGATGAAGTTTCAGGAGTTATGTCTGCCTGCAAAAAAATGTTATCTTGGATATACATGCAGTCGTACGTCTCAAATTTGAAAATACTCAGGAAAAAATGTAATTTCAGTGCTCTTAAAAATGAATTCATAAGAGACTGCATTGTATACAGTATTGCTTCAAAAATGACAGTGTTCATAAGCAGTTGCTTTGTGAACAGACCCTTACCCTTGAATTAGCTATTAATATATGCATGCTGGCAAGCTGAATCACTTTGCACTATGCTGTCGGTCTTCCCCAGTGCAGGGCACTATTCAGTTCACCAACAGGTCCAGAGGACAGCCGGCAGGCAAAGTTAATGAAGCTGAGGGTCAACCCTACGTCTCCTCAGAAGACAACTTTTATTGTGACCCAGTTGACCTCACCACTGAGGAGGATGCAATTTTTACCACTCTGGCACTCGTAAATGGTAGAGGGCATCTGAAGCTTAAAGGTGACACTGGTGCTAAGCGTAATGTCATTTCTAAGTAGATACTGTGCAAACTTCATCACACCATTCCTGTCAATGCTGCAAAGAGGGTAAATCTGATAGCTTATGGCGGACAGCAAGTTGACACCGAAGGAAATACAGTTCTAAATTGTACCCGTGGTTGATTCAGATATTATGTTGTTAACTGTGACATGAAACTGCTGCAGGGTGTATGGGACAGTATTGCTGTTGGTCTGGGACCTGATGCCCATGTGCTACAGCCTTAAACACCTTAGTACAGTGACCATTTTGACTGCACCATCATTGGAAAACTGCCAGTTGTGAACCACATGACACTGGTTCTACCAGCCCACCACATGCATGCCCAGAAAAGTACCAATAGCTATGAAGGAGAAAGTGAAGACAGAACTTGGTCACATGACTGAGCTCAGTGTCATCACACCAGAGAAGGATGCAACTGAATGGGTGTCTGCCATGGTTGCTGCCAGGAAGCATGATGATTCTGTCAGAATCTGCATAGAGCCTCTCCACCTGAACCAGGATTTACTCCAGCCATGTCACCCAGATCATTGCTGATATGCCAGGTGCAAAGTGTTCAGTTTTTTGATGCAAAGTGTGGCTTCTGGCAGATCCCTCTAGATGAAGCATCATCTAAACTGACCACCTTTGTAACCCCCTTATGGACACTACACGTTTTTAAAAATGTCACACTTTATCTCCATAGGAAGTGTTCGCTGGACAACCTTGCGAAATAGTAGCGGATGGCATTCTCATCTGGGGCTACACACAAGCCGAACACGATGAGAATCTCAACAGGTGCTGAATGTGAAATTAAATCTAGAGAAGTGCAAATTCAGAGTCAGTTCTGTTTGATATGCTGGGCATCTTCTCCCTGCTGATGGTGTAAAACCAGACCCAGACAAAACTAACTCAGGCTGCCAAATGCCCAGGCCCCAGGATAGGCAGGGCCTGCAGCAGATTCCTGGCATGTCAAATTACTTATTCAAATTTATTTCCCACTACAGTGAACTTACCAGGATGTCGAATGGCATTGGCATGATGCCCATGAACTGGCATTTGAGAAGTTGAAAATGGCCACAGCCCACCCACCAGTACTTCGAAGGGGCCAAGCCTGTGGTCCTTTCAGCCGATGCATCTCAACATGGCCTGGGGGCAGTGTGTCTCCAGCATGGCCGTCCAAGTGCTTTCGCTTTGCATGCTCTCATGCCCTCGGAGTCGCGCTACTCACAGATTGAAAATGAAATCCTGGCCTTAGTATTTGTGACTCAGAAATTTCCTGAGTTCATCGATGGCCGCACTGTCACTGATCATCAGCCCCTGATCACCATACTGCGGAAACCTTTGCATTCTGCCTTGCCACGCTGCCAAGGCATGTTGTTGAAACTCCATTGTTACAGACGTGATTTACAAACGTGGCATAGAATTGCACATCGTACCCCACTGTTGCTGATCACCTCTTGGAGGTCATGACAATCCTGATACTGTCCTCTCGTTGCACTGATGAACTCAGAGATGCTGTTGAAAGGGATGCCACCTGCATACAGCTCATGGAAATTACTGGGTGTGATGTTGTGCTCTTCCAGCTTCCCCAAACTCTTTGGCACTTCTTTGCTATTAAGGATGAGCTAACGGTCCAAGATGGACTCATACTTCGTGGTCAAAGGTTGCTCATTCCACCTGCACTTCAGAAATTCTGTACTCATCAGCTTCACCAGGGTCATCCGGGCCTTGAGGCAAGGAGAATATGTACTGGTCCTCCATGTATGCCAACATAGAAAGGGAACTTTCCCGCTATGCACTCTGCAGTGCACTGAGACCCCATCAGACAAAGGAAACTCTGCAGCTGCCCGACATTCTGGACCTTCCCTGGTCCATGACGGCAGCGTACATATTTGAGCAGAGGGGCAGGAGACATCTGGTTCTCATTGACTCCAATTCTGACTGGTATGTGGTGGACTACCTCCGTGAGATGTCAAGCCACACAGTCATTGCGAAACTCAAGAGGCACTTTACCATCCACGGGGTTCCCCACATCCTAATGATGGACAACGCTAGCCAGTTTGTCTGCAAGGACTTCTCTGACTTTGCACACACCTGGAACTTCAAACATGTCCACAGCAGTCCTCACTGCCCTCAATCCAATGGCCTAGCAGAACGGGCAGTTAGGTCTGCAAAACATCTGCTGGAGAAATGCCATCGTGACACGCCAGACTTTCAGGCGAGTAGCAATCTGCCACATGATGGCCTTCCCTCTCCAGACAGACCAGAACCTTCATGCCTGTGAGCAAGGCCACTATAACACCGGTCGTCCCCACCCAGGTGAAAGATGCCATTCTGTGCAAGCGACTCCAAGCACAAGCTATTTATGATAGGCTCCTACCTTTCACAGCAGGGCAGACAGTCAGGATGCAGAATCTCTGTGGGTTTGACACGTTAGCGGTAGTGAACAGCCCTACATGTCAACCTAACGACTACATTGCGGCCTCATGGAGTAGCACTTGTGTCAGAAACATACCTGCTCCACGTTCCAGAGCCTGCTCCTGTGAAGCAGGAAGACTCACTGCTGACTCCTTCCCAAGACACAGCAGCTATTGCTGAACCTCCACTGTCCACCTCTCCAGTGCACACTACAGTGTGCCCAGAGGGCTCAATGAACAGTCAGCCCTACATGATGAACGTCTCAGGGAGAATCGGTCATCCCACCCGGCACTACCAGGACTACATAGTATTATAAGGTAACATATCCAACTTCACGTAAATAACAAATGAACATACAGATACCTAGTGTGATTTAGCCAATCAATTTATGCCGTTCCAGGTAATTGTTAAACTGTAATTTTCTGCCTTGTGTTACATAACCATTGTTGAGCTTATGTTTTCTTTTAAGTGTATTCTAACCCTCATTTTACTGTAATGCTTTGGTCTCTGTTCTAAAAGAGAGTTATTACTTGACAAGAAGTTATTAAAAGGAAGCATGGTTGCCCTTAATGAAGGTGTCTGTTATTTTATCAACACTGTTTTATAATCACTCTCGGATATGGGGGGACCTACTATGTGCATGTGAGTGTGTTATATAAAATGACCTTTTATATTTTATGATTTTATTGTTT